AATTTGATTGCAATAGAGGGAAACTCATGTGTTTTAAATCCTTAAAAAAAATCGAAACGTTCTACGTAACTATGAAAACCTGCTTACTCCTTACGATATTTAATCAAAGATCTATTTCAAATTTAAAATAGATTTCTTGATGAGCTGCGGCATACAAAGAGCAGATAACTGCAGCGACGGGGTGTCGGCAACCGGCGTTAATGTCCAGATTAGGAGATGCCGGCCGTTCCGCGGGGATTTCCAAGAGAAGTAGAGGAAGATGAAGACGGAGGAGGAAAAAAGAGGGAAAGAGGAGGGAGTGCGGGAGAGGAGAACGACAATGACGGCGATGATGAGAAGCGATGCGTCGCGGCGCGTGAACGGCGTCGCCGCCGTTCTATCGCCCAAAAGGCATCTCTCGAGAACCGAGCGACGTCGTGGCCGTCCGGGCTTCCTGGTCCGTTCACCACCACCCGCGTGCCCATCGCCGTGAGGCGTGGGCAGCATCGCTGGCCAGCCCTCGAGGCGTCTCGCGTGCCCATCTTCGGTAGCGTCGCGTATCGCGCCGCGGACGTTATATCTGGCGTCGCGACGCCCTCGAGCCTCAGCCGCTCCTCAGCCGCCCGTCGATTCACAACTCACCCTCACGGTTAGTAATAGATCCGCGTAGATAGACGTTCTTCTCTGTGCTCGCCTCGAAAGTTTGCGCGCAGTTGTATAGAAAAGTGCCGGCAAGAGATTCTAAAAAGGAAAAACAGAAACGTGTCAGTGTATAAATTAAAGGGTTTGATCTTTTTTTGTGAAGGGCAATTCTGCAATGCGATCGAAGTTTGGAGAAAAAAATTGGATTGATTCTAAAGTGATTTAACGTATTGACTAGGATTAGAACAATGTTGTGTCACTGTATGGCAAAAAAATTGTATACTATATAGGAAAATTCTTGTGAAAAGAATTCTGTATGTTATATCAGGAAAACAGTATGTAGTGGCTAATTACTTAAACATTGGCCAATACAAATTGTTTCCTAAAATAATTAAGATTTGATTTTTTAATTATAATAAAAAAATAGCATTGTCCCAATCAATATTTTAATTACTTTGTAATAAAAATAATTTTTAAAAAATTCAAACAATATTTAATAACTTTTTTAAAAAAAGGCTTATTATTTTATCAGAATTATTATAATTTTACTTAAAAAAATTTGCTGTATTTTTGAAAATCAAAATATTATTAATTTAAATATTAAATGTTTAGCTACTTTTAAAAGAGATATAATTAGACATTTCCTTATGATTTCTATATATGCTTTGAACAAAAATAAATACGATTATGTAAAACTGCGAAGAGATGCCAAATTAAACCAAATTAAATGGAGATTTATATTGAAACTCTCATAAATTCGGAAAAATCATAAAAATCAGTTTGCAAATCAATATAATCGATTCTAATTGAACAAATTTTTTTTTTTTTACAGAGAAACTAAAAAAGCAGCAAGATGTGTGATGACGAAGTAGCAGCCCTGGTCGTAGACAATGGCTCCGGCATGTGCAAAGCCGGCTTCGCCGGAGACGACGCTCCCCGCGCCGTCTTCCCATCGATCGTCGGTCGACCTCGCCATCAAGGAGTGATGGTCGGTATGGGTCAGAAGGACAGCTATGTGGGTGACGAGGCCCAGAGCAAAAGAGGTATCCTGACTCTGAAATATCCGATCGAGCACGGTATCATCACCAATTGGGATGACATGGAGAAGATCTGGCATCACACCTTCTACAACGAATTGCGTGTCGCTCCGGAAGAACACCCCGTCCTCCTCACTGAAGCGCCCCTCAACCCGAAAGCTAACCGCGAGAAGATGACGCAGATCATGTTCGAAACCTTCAACAGCCCGGCCATGTACGTCGCCATCCAGGCCGTCCTTTCCCTGTACGCTTCCGGTCGTACCACCGGTATCGTCCTGGACTCCGGTGACGGTGTCTCCCACACCGTACCCATCTACGAGGGTTACGCCCTTCCCCACGCCATCCTCCGTCTGGACTTGGCCGGTCGCGATCTTACCGATTATCTCATGAAGATCCTCACCGAGAGAGGCTACAGCTTCACCACCACGGCTGAGCGAGAAATTGTCCGCGATATCAAGGAGAAGCTTTGCTATGTCGCCCTGGACTTCGAACAGGAAATGGCCACCGCTGCCGCCAGCACCTCCCTCGAGAAGAGCTACGAGTTGCCTGATGGTCAGGTCATCACCATTGGTAACGAGAGGTTCCGTACACCTGAGGCTCTCTTCCAACCTTCCTTCCTGGGTATGGAATCTTGTGGTATTCACGAGACCGTCTACAACTCCATCATGAAGTGCGACGTCGACATCCGTAAGGATCTCTACGCCAACAATGTCCTCTCCGGTGGTACCACCATGTACCCCGGTATCGCCGATCGTATGCAGAAGGAAATCACCGCCCTCGCGCCCTCGACCATCAAGATCAAGATTATCGCTCCCCCCGAGAGGAAGTACTCCGTATGGATCGGTGGTTCCATCCTGGCTTCCCTGTCCACCTTCCAGCAGATGTGGATCTCCAAACAGGAATACGACGAGTCTGGCCCTGGCATTGTCCACCGCAAATGCTTCTAAACGCGTCATTGCACGATCGACGCAACAGCGTAATCTTCGAAAGAACATCATCGTATCTCGGGGAGAACACACGAATAGCATACAGTTCTGGCCCGAGCAATCAAGCTGCTATGAGAAAACATCATCAGAATCAGAGCATTATCATCTACTGTCAATCCTCATTGGATCTCATCGAATCATCGTCGCGGCCTCGCTCGTCGTTGCGCAAACAACGACGACCTGGCTGATCATCATCGTCGTCGCAGTCTTTTTGTAAAACTGCAGTCGACAGCATCATTGCTCACTTAATGTCACCATCACGGCCGAGGTAGCGGTTGGCGAGATTGCCTCTCGTCACAGAGCCTCTCTTGTGGTAGCCTTGAACGTAGTCGAGCATTTGAAAGGATCTTCGCGCATGGATGCGGATGGATGCTACCATGTGCTTCTTTCGACCCACGAAAGGGACATTCTGGTAGACGTAAGGACGCGCAGGGATCTCGACAGATTACGCTTGGCAACGAGCTTCGAGACTACTTCGGGAGGGCTGCGCTCGTTTTTCACTGTCACGCGAGCGTTCTCACCACCGTTCGAGAAATCGATCCTCTCTTAATACGTATTATATATTGATTACATCTAGTCTGCTAACCAAAGCAACTAAGCATCTACCGATGTACTTCTATACTTTAATTTATTTTGTAAATATTATACATTATGTTACTATATATTGTTATACGATGCCAAAGTCAATTCAAATACACATTATATCACACCACTGTCGTTTCCATTTCATGAACTTTTTACATTACCTCACGTGAGCTTCATGTATGGCTTATTTCTGCGGTTCCTCTTGGCGCAACAACATTATTATACTTCGAATCTCGTCAAATAGTTTCTCAAACTTCCTCGCCTCGAGTTCTCTTTTCTATCTGTAAAATAAATCAAGAGTTAAAATATAACTTTTTTAATTCTTCATGTGAGAACTTATACGCAATCATTTGTATTGATGATCGAAAATAAGAAAATAATTAGAAATATATACATAAACAAAATTTTTCATACCAAGAATAAGTAAAGTAAATCTGCTATGGCCTCCTTCTTTCAATTAATTTAACATTAAGAGAATAGAGAAATTTGCTTAGGTTTGCACTTCAAGAACAATTTCGAGTATTATTTAACAATCGCTATAGTAAATAAATTCGCAGCCGAGCACTAAAATGTTGTGTTTTCTCACATCGCTCTCGCGTCCAAATTTGTCTTCGATCGCGACGGAGTAGCCTGCGTTATTTTAAAATAACTGTTATCGTTACGCGTAGTCGCGATGAGTAACCTTGGCCCAATACAAAATTTGCCCTAAATGAATTTACCAATATAATTTATTTCTCTCTTCTTTCTCCCTGACAAAATTCCAGTAATGAGAATTTTCGCGTATCGCTTCCAGCTAACAGACTCGCTATAGTCTCGCTTGAAAAAGAAGAAGAAACGAGAATCTGCTTCCGATTGCAACGAGTTATTGTCTCGTGCAGTTTTTCGTTAGTTATCGACTCTAGAAAATCTTTCGCAGGCGTTTTCGGACGCTCCATTGATATTTAGGGATGAGAATCTCTGCAATAAAACCTCTCGCGAAGAAGTTTATTTCGGTCGCATCGCATAATCTCAAAATACTTCTGCTAACTTGTAATATCCATAGGAACGTGATTCTGGTTCAGAGGGCTTTCACGATCTCTTCTTCGTTTTTTGTACTCATTAATATGATCGATACATTTATTGTTACGAAAAAAATGATAATTCCGCAATGATTTCACATAAACAATAAAGATTGCAGTTTTAAACTAAGAGATAATTTACTAATAAGAAATTATTAAAATCGAAGAATATGAAACTTTGAATAATAATTTTTCTATATGAAATTTGTACAAATATCGAAAACTATGTTTTAAAAAGGAACGTAAAAGAAAATCAGCATATACATGTATGTATATAATTGCGTGAGAATATTTGTCAAAGAATATTTTACAAAAGATTTTTTGTTCTAAAACAAAGTAGTCTGTTTAAGTTAGGCGTTTGAAATATTTTTACAGACGATGTTTTATTCAGAAAACGAGAGAGAGAGAGAGAAAAGAAAGGAGCAAAATACAGATATTATTTGATGCGAAATTGACTCTTATACAAATCTTAATTAATTTTAACGTTTGTAAAACGACGCATGGATAAGTAAAGAAAAAAAAATTAACTCGGATTAATTCGTTGAAGCGATCGGCGTCTCGATGCAATACAGGAACGCGCCGCGATGGTATTTCCAAAGCGGCGAAGCATATTCTCCGGGCCCGCTTAGGGGCTGCGTGGCCGCCTAGTTCGGCGAGCGTCGCGACGCCTCGCGAGGCGATGCCTTTTTCGTGCCTGTCGGGCAAGCACCATCCCACGAAAATGCGGGGGCGTCCAGACGAGAGCATATAATCGACGTCGCGACGCCGCCGAGGCACAGACGCCGCTCCACCTCTGTCCCGTGCACGGTACGTAGACATAGTATCACGAATTTTCGCATCTCCATCGCCGGATACACATCTCACTCTCTTCATCACGGAGAACACGAACGTTTTCTGCCTGTTCCCGCGAAAATTTTACCAAGACGTCCGCGTGTTATGGTGATTAGCGAACGAAAGTGATAAGCTGCTGCATCATTAGGATTATTCGAGATAACCAGCAATTCAGAGTAACAGCTTCATTATCTTAACTTATATTTAATCAAAATTTTGAAGTTAAATTCGTCGAATGCTTCAGCATTTTATATTATAAATCGATATTATAATAATCTATTAAAATTTAAATTAAATAATATCTAAGAAAGAGAAAAATCTTGTCCGTATTTTTTAATTGTTTTCAATTACGATAATATTTAATGTTTAAGATTGTTATTTAATATTAACAAAATGGATATTTACTTATTTGAAGGATCCAGTTTGTTAACGGAATTATTTAAATTTACAAGTTGATCATATCTTTTTTTTACGCTCCTTTACTTTTCTTTATTCATAATTATTTTCTTTTAATTTTAATTGATAAACGAGATTTATATAAATGAGATTTATATAAATTAAATTTGAGTGTTGAAAAGTATTGGAAATTTTAATGCGCAAACAAGATAATTTAGAGATCTTAAATAGAAGTTTTAATTATTTCTTACATATTATCATTATTTTTGAATATATATTAATTATTCAATTTGATATAAGACTTAGCTTGGCTCGTAGTTATTTCTTTTTTAATTATTTTTTTTAATATTAAATATGCTACTTGCCTTAAAAAAGTTCTTTGACCATTGCTGAATCCTCGATAGAAGTTCAAGTTCGCAGCGTTCACTCCATTCATTGAGATTGATTCTTGGCGTACCGTCAAGCCACTCTTATCCGTTGCATCCAGTTATACATCTATCTTTCGATAACAGGCAGAAAATGAATTCCTGTCCCCAAAAAATTAATATTAGTCTATAAGTATAGTAATCTAACAGTTTAATATATTTAATCTAACATTTAACATATTTAGCAACATTATCTACTTATTAGATAAATGATACTTATTAAATCATATCTGAAGATATAAAAATATTCTAAGATAAAGTTAAAAGTAACTTGTAAATTGAATTTTGCTAACTTAACTGTATACTCTTTGTTTTTTAATAAATGTTAAATGGTATTTAAAAAATAATTGTTGTATAAGCCAACAGAATATTTTTTGAGATAGATTTATTTTTATAATTAACGTTTAATAAGTTGATTTAAACTGACTCGAATTAATTCTTGTAAATTCCATAAATAAGAAAATTTAAATATAAGCAAATTTAAATTTAGCTAATAAAGTGCAAATACAAAAAAATTATTTTATAAATGTTTAAGAATCAGAATTCACAACTTCAAGTCATCATTTTTAAGTGTTGCAATAAAAATCGTTGTATAATCTATAAAAAAAGAAAGTATAATATGACCTTAAGTTACAAAAACGCAGAAATCATTTTACGAATTTTTAAGAATTAAAATATCTTAATATTTCATTTGCTTACGTTTAAAAAGCGTTTAACGAGCGAAATAACTAGTAAAATTATGAATTATGTATATCAAGTTTGCGGATCTTCCAATGACCATAAAAGGGCTCATCTCCTGTGAATTGTACCCCTTGTGTGTCTTGGTTCCTAAAATTACTCATTCCTCTAAGGATCGCTTCCCTCAACCGTCGGTTAACTTTAAACATAGCTCGACCGCCTCTCCTAGGCTCTTTCTAGAATTACAAAACTGGCGAGGTACGCGTTGGGATTTGCGTTAACGTTAAACTGACGTTACCGATGCCGGGCGTAAAAGCCGCGAATACACGCGGACGTGCAGGGGCGAACGGCCGTTTTCTACATGGTCGCCCTCATAGTCGCATAGTCGAGGTCTTCGGCCGTGCCATGCGATCGCGTTTTGGTCCTTTTCCGCGGGCAGGCATAATTTTGGCACGCTCGGCGTTGCTCTGCGGCGGGACGTTATGTTTTATCCGTCGTCGTCGTCGTCGTCGTCGGCTACGGCGGCGGCAGCGGTAGCGTCGGCCACCATAATCGTCGCTTGAACTTATTAGGGAGCGTCCGTCGGCCGTACGTCTAAAGTTAGCGACGCGCCGGGCGAAAATAGCGCCGCGACGCCGGGGCCGCTTTGCCTATCGCTTTATAGGCAACTAGGTCAATTCTGGCTACGCGCAACGCTCACCGGGAATCAGCTTTATCGGAGAGCCCTCGAAATTCGCCCGGCTATCATCGGATGTATATAATAATACTTTTTTTCAAATAAATTCTACCGCTTCTCCAATTTGAACTCCGAACTGTAAAATAATTCGAATGTTCTGTTCGTGAAGATGATTGTGCAAACTTCATTCCTTGGGAAAGTCTTGAAAGATCTGCAATTTAAAATTGTACATAAATATCAAATTATTTTTAATATATTTATATCATCATCCCATATTTTAAATATACTATAGTAATTTAAAAATATTCGTAAAAAATTAAATACTTGTAGTAGAATTATTCAATTGATATTCCTTTAATTACTTGTGTAAAAAAATTTTTTTTATAAAAAAATATTTTAAAAAAACTGCGTTTGCATACAAACTATTTTTGGTTTTTTAATTTAATTTTGCTTTTCTTATTATTGTTTATGTAATGGAATAAAATATAGTATATTTTAAATAATAATAACTATTAATAACTTATTCTTAACAAAATTCTAATTATTATTTTATCGAATAAGAATATGTCAGTGGTACATAATGTGTTTAGAAAAAACAAAAATAATTTATGATATTATCAAAATTATATTAATATAATAATAGTTAATAAGTGATTATCATATAGAACCCACATACAAATAATCACAGACTAAGAGACATTATAATTTTTTAATATAAAACTTAATCGAGATAATAATTTCTGTTACAGAGCGTTGAAATCGAAGAAAAACAACAATGTGTGACGACGAAGTAGCTGCCCTGGTCGTAGACAATGGCTCCGGCATGTGCAAAGCCGGCTTCGCCGGAGACGACGCGCCTCGCGCCGTCTTCCCCTCGATCGTCGGTCGACCTCGCCATCAGGGAGTGATGGTCGGTATGGGTCAGAAGGACAGCTACGTGGGCGACGAAGCCCAGAGCAAGAGAGGTATCCTGACTCTGAAATATCCGATCGAGCACGGTATCATCACCAATTGGGATGACATGGAGAAGATCTGGCATCACACCTTCTACAACGAATTGCGTGTCGCTCCAGAGGAACACCCTGTTCTCCTCACCGAAGCGCCTCTCAACCCGAAAGCTAACCGCGAAAAGATGACGCAGATCATGTTCGAAACCTTCAACAGCCCGGCCATGTACGTCGCCATCCAGGCCGTTCTTTCCCTGTACGCTTCCGGTCGTACCACCGGTATCGTCCTGGACTCCGGTGACGGTGTCTCCCACACCGTACCAATCTACGAGGGTTACGCCCTTCCCCACGCCATCCTCCGTCTGGACTTGGCCGGTCGCGATCTTACCGACTATCTCATGAAGATCCTCACCGAGAGAGGCTACAGCTTCACCACCACGGCTGAGCGAGAAATTGTTCGCGATATCA